CAGACAAAAAGAACTTTTTATCATTAATTTCTCTCAGCCAACCATCAGTCACTTGGTGTAAGTGCCTGTTCTTTGTTGAATGTCCGTCCCTATAAAGCGTGCTGAAAGTCTGTTCAAATCAAATCAAATTTATTGGCCACATGCGCCGAATACAACAGGTGCAGACATTACAGTGAAATGCTTACTTACAGCCCTTAACCAACAGTGCATTTAATTTTAACAAAAAGTAAAAATAAAACAACAACAAAAAAAAGTGTTGAGAAAAAAAGAGCAGAAGTAAAATAAAAAAAACAGTAGGGAGGCTTATATACAGGTGGGGTACCGGTGCAGAGTCAATGTGCGGGGGCACCGGCTAGTTGGGGTAGTTGAAGTAATATGTACATGTGGGTAGAGTTAAAGTGACTATGCATAAATAATTAACAGAGTAGCAGAGCAGCGTAAAGGATGGGGTGGGGGGGGGGGGGGGGGGGGGGGGGGGGGCAGTGCAAATAGTCCGGGTAGCCACGATTAGCTGTTCAGGAGTCTTATGGCTTGGGGGTTAGAAGCGTTGAGAAGTCTTTTGGAACTAGACTTGGCACTCCGGTACGCTTGCCGTGTGGTAGCAGAGAGAAACAGTCTATGACTAGGGTGGCTAGAGTCTTTGACAATTTTGAGGGCCTTCCACTGACACCGCCTGGTATAGAGGCCCTGGATGGCGGGAAAAGCTTGGCCCAAGTGATGTACTGGCCGTACGCATACCCTCTGTAGTGCCTGCGGTCGGAGGCCAAGCAGTTGCCATACCAGGCGGTGGATTTGCAACCAGTCAGGATGCTCTCGATGGTGCAGCTGTAGAATTTTTTTGAGGATCTGAGGACCCATGCCAAATCTTTTCAGTCTCCTGAGGGGGAATAGGCTTTGTCGTGCCCTCTTCACGACTGTCTTGGTGTGTTTGGACCATGATAGTTCGTTGGTGATGTGGACACCAAGGAATTTGAAGCTCTCAACCTGTTCCACTACAGCCTCGTCGATGAGAATGGGGGCGTGCTCAGTCCTCTTTTTTTCCTGTAGTCCACAATCATCTCCTTTGTCTTGGTCACGTTGAGGGAGAGGTTGTTGTCCTGGCACCACACGGCCAGGTCTCTGACCTCCTCCCTATAGGCTGTCTCATCGTTGTCGGTGATCAGGCCTACCAATGTTTGTGTCGTCGGCAAACTTAATGATGGTGTTTGGAGTCGTCCCTGGCCATGCAGTCATGGGGTGAACAGGGAGTACAGGAGGGGACTGAGCACGCACCCTGAGGGCCCCCGTGTTGAGGATCAGTGTGGCAGATGTGTTGTTACCTACCTTGTTGTCAAATTGTTTACTGTAAAATAGCATTGTATCGGTTAAACACCATTTTTTTCCAGAAGTTACTAAGAGTTGTAACAGGCTGATTGGTTGGCTTTTTGAGGCAGTAAAGAGGGCTTTACTATTCTTGGGTAGTGGAATGACTTTTGCTTCCCTCCCAGCCTGAGGCACACACTTTCTAGTAGGCTTAAATTGAAGATATAAACAATAATAATATAATATGCCATTTAGCAGATGCTTTTATCCAAAGCGACTTACAGTCATGCGTGCATACATTTTTTTTGTGTATGGGTGGTCCCGGGGATCGAACCCACTACCTTGTCATTACAAGCGCCGTGCTCTACCAGCTGAGCTACAGAGGGCCACTTATGGCAGATATGGCAAATGGGATTTTGTAATATCGTCCGCTATTATCCTCAATAATTTTCCATCCAGATTGTCATACCCCGGTGGCTTGTCATTGTTGATAGACAACAATATTTTTTTCACCTCTTCCACACTCACCTATGGAATTCAAAAGTACAATGCTTTGTCTTTCATAATTTGGTCAGATATACTTGGATATGTAGTGTCAGCATTTGTTGCTGGCATGTCATGCCTAAGTTTGCTTATCTTGCCAATGGAAAAAGTAATTAAAGTAGTTCGCAATATCAGTGGGTTTTGTGATGAATGACCATCTGATTCAATGAATGATGGAGTCCTAGTTTGCCTTTTTCCCCCAAATTTCATTTAAGATGCTCAATGCTTTTTTACTATCATTCTTTAGATCATTTATTTTGTTTCATAGTATAGTTTATTTTTATTTTCATTTAGTTTAGTCACATGACTTCCTAATTTGCAGTACGTTTGGCCAATTGATTGGCTGCCAGACCTATTTTCCATTTATTTTGCCTCATCCCTCTCAACCATACAATTTTTCAATTGCTCATCAAACCAAGGAGATTTAACAGTTTTTACAGTCATTTTTTAAATGGGTGAACGCTTAATCGTAATGGAATAAGCAATTTCATAAATGTTTCAAGTGCAGCATCTGGTTTATTTCTCATTGCACACCACATACCAGCAAATATTCCAAATAAAATAAAATCAAAATCAAATCATATTTTATTTGTCACATGTGCCGAATACAACAGGTGTAGACCTTACAGTGAAATGCATACTTACAAGCCTTTAACCAACAATACAGTTTTAAGAAATAATACCTAAAAAAATAAGAAATAAATGTAACAAATACTTAAAGAGCAGCAGTAAAAATAATAGTGGCTTAATAAAAGGGGGTACCGGTACCGAGTCAATGTGGGGGGGGCACCGGTTAGTCAGAAGAATTGAAGTAATATGTACATGTGGGTAGAGTTATTAAAAGTGACTATGCATAGATAATAAGCAGAGAGTAGCAGCAGTAAAAGAGGGGGGGGGGGGGCAATGCAAATAGTCAGGGTAGCCATTTGATTAGATGTTCAGGACTCTTATGGCTTGGGGTTAGAAGCTGTTTAGAAGCTCTTGGACCTAGACTTGGCGCTCCGGTACTGCTTGCCGTGCGGTGGCAGAGAGAACAGTCTATGACTAGGGTGGCTAGAGTCTTTGACAATTTTGAGGGCCTTCCACTGACACCGCCTGGTATAGAGGTCCTGGATGGCAGGAAGCTGGCCCAAGTGATGTACTGGGCCGTACGCACTACCCTCTGTAGTGCTTGCGGTCGGAGGCCAAGCAATTGCCATACCAGGCGGTGATGCAACCAGTCAGGATGCTCTCGATGGTGCAGCTGTAGAATTTTTGGAGGATCTGAGGACCCATGCCAAATATTTTCAGTCTCCTGAGGGGGAATAGGCTTTTTCGTGCCCTCTTCACGACTGTCTTGGTGTGTTTGGACCATGATAGTTCGTTGGTGATGTGGACACCAAGGAACTTGAAGCTCTCA